GAAGCTGCCAGTCACCATGGTAACTTCATGGCAGAGCTAAGAGTAGAACCCAGGAGTCCTAACATCCAGTCTGGCTCTTCAACCATGTGATTACATACTCTCCTTAGTTCATTTTGTGCATTACTTCTCAGCTGGGATTAAAACTGCTTTTTGAGGAAGGCTGCATGGTTACCTCTATTCAAGGTCCAGAAGTATTGAGTTCAGAAGGACAACATCCCACTTGATATTCACCTCAGCTGTAAGAGTGGCAGAATTCCTTGGCCTTAGGGGCCTGTCTTAAAATCACTGCATGCCCCAAAAAGGGCCATGTTAACTACTCTTCTGATAAAGGTAGGGCTCTTTGTAAAGTTGACTTAGATATTGATGTTTAAATACACAAATGCAGAACTTGTCCACATCTAGGCTCATTGTGTTGTGTTTTTATTTTTTTAGTGAGAAAATCTGTGTACATCAAGGTGAAATAATATGAAGCTGCCTTATGTTTCTTGGCGTTACAATTTTCGTCTCTGATTTAATTGTTCATCCAGTTTGGGAACCTTCTCTACAGCCTGAGATGGAAACAGAGTCAGTAAGTACAACATCTCTTTGAAAAATACTTAATTATGCAGAGCCGGGGGATCCCAAAACTTCTCATTCTGCAGAACGCATCATGAGAGAGACTCTCATTTGTCATCTCCCTTCCCAGTACCCCTAACCTTTATTGCTCGTGTAAAAGCTGCAAGGATGCCATTTCATGTACTCACTATCTATTGGGTTTTATTATATGTAAAATTTAGCTATTCTGTTTGAATGGTGAGATTCCAAATACATTAAGGAACTTCTTGTTATACCGTAAAACAAGTGTTGCTTTGGCTTTCAAATCTGTATTATAGGAATTGGTGCATTTATAGCCTAGTGATTCAATTTATTATTTAATATATGGATAAACAATTTAAATTTAAAACCACCACTGTCAGGTATCTTCGGTCCAAAATATAGACGTTGTGTGTCTTACAAAAAAGTTTTATCAACCAACTATTAATGGGGAGTTTTGCATGAATTGAAAAATAAGCTTGTTTGGATTTAAACATTTACCTCCAGAGTTTGCCAAAGTCTAGAAGACGAGTATAAACAGACATGAAACTGACTAAGGAGGTGATTTTCAAAGGCACAAATACCAGTTCAGCACCTCACTTCCTTTCATTGACTTTCATGTGTGTAAAGCTAGACATGGGTTTGTAGAAAGAGGATCTTAATTTAAAAATAAATATTGGTACTTGCTGGTACTCTTAACTTTTTATTCTTTTAAAAATAGCTAAAAGAGGTGCCATAGGTTTGAATTTAGTTTATATGGTGGCTCTCGCCACTTTCAGAAGCTGCCTTTTAAAATCTAATCTTTCTTTATTTGAACTATTTGATAAAATGTTGTCTTGATTTTCAGACTATCCCAATTTGGCAGAACAAACCCCATGGCTCATCACGCAGTGTTGTCAGGAGGATTGGGACAAACCTTCCTTTAAAACCCTGTCCTAGGGCGTCCTTTGAGGTAAGGGGATGCATAAGAGAGTCTGCAAATATATGCAGGACTTTTCAGTTCTTTAGCAACAGAAGTAATTCTGATTTGCCGTTCTTTCCCATAGCAAAGTAAAGTATTTTTGAAATTGGAAATGCACCACATGCAGCCAATAGGATTGTATAAATTATCATCTGTTTTAACCATTTTAATTCTTTCTAGTTTTTGTAAATCCCTGAAATGATCAGTGGCAATTTGGGAACAACATGTTCTATACAATCATGCCAGCAATCAGGAAGGAGTGTGAGCTAATGATTAGAGGGGACTGAGTCCAAACTTCTGGGTCCTATTCCCAGCTGAGTCACTAACTGAGTGTGGGACCTCGGGCAAGTCGCTTAACCTCCCTGTGCCTCTGTTTCCCAAACCATAATAGGAGGCTCATGATACATGCCTACCTCATTGGGTGTTTGAGAGTTAGCTCAATAATGGTATTGCTTTGTAGCTGAAAAGTGGTGTTCGTGTGTTCACTAATTTTTCCTTTTTTGGCTGCATTTCAGGCAATAGTGCGTACATTTTTGCAGGTGCATTTGCCAGTTTTATGATGCACATCAAAAAAGCTGAGGACAGTTTCATAAACACACACAGCATTTCATGTACTGGTTTATCTGAATCTATCTACACTGGCTTCCTACAGTGAAGACTCAGCTATGAATCTGATGCAGAGAAGGCTTCATCGTCTTTAAATTGTACCAAACAGAACAAAACTATTATATTTATTATAATGTCACTATGTTCTTCCTAGGTTCTACCAAACATTTCAGATCTGTATCTAAATGATGCACCTCCAGTCCCCACTCTGGCAGATATTGCATGGATAGCGGCAGATGAAGAAGAAACATATGCTAGAGTCAGGTATTTTTACTTTCTTTCTCACCCAATAGCTTTCCGTTCTTCCATTCTTCCTGGACAGCGACTTGTTTTGTGAAAGATAAAACAGTAACTGATCAAATGCTCATAATTTCTAGTCACTTGAGTTGTTCTGGTGAGATGCCTATTGATTGATTTTATTGAAAGTTGTTCTACAGAGAGGAGGGATGAGAAGTTTTGGCCAAGGACACTAGGGCAAACTCCTACAGAAAGTGCCAGGGGATACTTAACGTTCAAGAAGAGTGGCTAGGCTCTTAGTTTTTAAGATCGTAATTGAAAGACCTCCACCTAGTAAACTACATGGTGCTCAGGATATCTACCTCAGAAGGATGAAGGGCTGTCATATCCCTTCTGGGATTCATTCCTGTTTGTCCAGAGAGTCCACTTCTATCCATTTCACTTTTTGAAGCTCTGGGGCAGGCCAGTAACTTTAATATTAACGTGTCTTGTGAAAAATAAAATGCAGGCCCTTTGCAGTCTGAAAAACTATGTAATGGGGACAGGTGACGCCCCCATGCACACACAATCTCAAATGCCGCTCCATTGCATAGAAATGTAAACCAGCCAGCAGAGAGGAATATCCTGCTGGCCTCCCGGTTAACGCTCTAGACTGAAAGTTCAGAGGCTTGCTTTTTTGTTCCTGCATCTGCCACAGACTTTGGGCAGCAGTTTTTGTGTAGTTTCTGTGCCTCATTTTCCTCCTTTGTAGAACAGGGATAATATCTACCTCCCCCGAGTATCCTGATTCATTGTTTGTAAAATGCTTTGCAGTTCTTGGGTGGCAGGCTGTGGAAATACAAAACCTTATTGCTTGAGTGGGGTCTGTTCCGTTTGTGTGACTGATGGGCTTTTGTGCTGTACTTTTTAGGAGTGACACACGCCCATTGAAGCACAAGTGGAAGCCCAGCCCGTTCTTTGTGATACAGCGAAACGCTTCAGTCCCCAACTTGAGAAAGCAGGAAGAGAAGCTGCTGGTCTTGAAGAAACCTGGTTTACCGGCCCTCAGTCGGACGACAGAGCTTCAAGATGAGCTGAGTCTCCTGCGGAGTCAAATAGCTAAAATTGTAGCTGCAGATCCAGGTAGGAACATAACAGCCCTTCTTCTCTAACAATAAAAGGCTTGAGATTGTGAACAGTGATTCCGCTATAAAAAGCAGTACTGGTCCGATACATTGCCAGTATTCTGGCTTTTTGCATAAAAATGCAAGACAATAGATATTTTGTCTTCTTTGGATCCCTCTCTCTAGTATGTGCCTTAGCGATCTAATCCAATATATACGTTTGTAATGGTCCAGACAGCTCATTGTTACAACTACAGCTGAGTTGAGCATCCTAGGAGTTTATTGACTAGTGAGGATCAGCATGGTTATCATCTCCCATTGCTTTCTAAGAGCTGGAAGTGGCTTAAATGGAATACAGCCATTTCTAGCATCCATGTAGTGGAACACAAATGACATAAACAGCTTGACTTATAGAATTCATAATGGCCGAGTACATTTCTTCCCTCCCCTTGTTGGTGCAATGTCATCTGTGATGTCAACCGAATGAATGGTATTGTTTGTACGTATTGGCATTTGTTTGATTAGAAACCTCTCCCCCCTCCCCCCACACACTTATTTTTAAAATAAGTGCAACCAAAATCAACTTACTGTACTGGAGTACAGTGGGGGAGGGTGTTGAGTTTCCAGACTGGGTGCCTCCCATTGAATGAAAACGTTGGGGATTTAGTCTTGTCATTCTTGCCCCCAGGCCTGTTGTTGGTGTTTAAAAAGGGTTCTTTTCCTGTGTTTCTTTGGGAGAGTGATGTAAGTGTTCTGGTTTTTCGTGACCAGAGATGAGTACTAATTGATCTCGGGCCACTTACGCTTTTTGAGAAGAGGCCAGCTGGAGTTCACAGATTAATAGATTATAAAGCCAGAAGGGACCATTGTGATCATCTAGTCTGACCATGTGCACATCATCTTCTTGAATTAATTCTAGCTGGTTAACTGCTCCTGTCGTAAACACACTGATTTTAGTTGTGTTTTAAGCTCAAAAAATGCAAGTAAATTTAATGTGAAAGAGGAAATTCCACCCTTCAATTTGCTCTTATGGTCTAGCTTCTGCTGGGTGGCTCTGGAAGTAAACAGGATGCTATGTTTGGTGAAACTCCAGAGTACACTGTGGCATCACATGCTTGTCCGTACTGCTGACCAATCAGTCACAGAGCTGTGCAAGACCAGAAGTAGTCTTGGGGCCTTGTCAATCTTACAACTTTAAAACCTTTTGAAAGTAGAAACTTGGCTCATTACTGGAACTTGAACCTTCTCCAAAACAGCTTCTCTTGTACGAAGCTGCTGCATGTTGTTCATGTGCAGTGCACTTGAACTGTTGGTGTACAACCAAGGTATAAAGGGAGTGGTTATGATTTGGCTTTCTGTCAATGGCATAAAAGGGGCAAAAATTGTAACTTTTTGTATGGCAAAAAATGCGAAAGCCTTTTCCATTTTTAAATAAAATGTCATAACACTATCTTAAATACTGCTTTGTCATGGAAAATTGTCCTAAGTGAAATATCCTTTATTCTGCAATTAAACATAGTTTACTTTTTTTAAAATTTAAAACCCAGGGCACTCTTCCATACTCGACTAGAGAACCAAATCTAATCCTTCAGGGAGAAGGAGACAGTTGAGTAGGGTGACACTTGTATGAAAAATACCTTGTGTCGTGGGATCTGTCATAAGTCAGAGCTGTGACAAATTTACAGCCTTATAAACAATATAAGCCATTGCTTATACACCTCTACCTCGATATAACACTGTCCTTGGGAGCCAAAAAATCTTACCACGTTATAGGTGAAACCGCGTTATATCGAACTTGCTTTGATCCGCCGGAGTGCGCCGTGCTGCTTTACCGCGTTATATCCAAATTCGTGTTATATCGGGTCGCGTTGTATCGGGGTAGAGGTGTAGTTAGTTCCATTCCAAGGGGAGACACTTACTCATTACATCCTCAGACTATACTGGATTTAGTTTGAATGTTGGCCTCTGCATTTCAGACATGAATTTTATGTATTAGGTTCAGCACATTCTAACTTATTATATCCATCTTTAATATATCAGATGCCCACTTGGAATACTTAGGATGTTTTTGTCTGGATCACAATTAATTTTTAAATGAGATGCGGTACAAAGTAGGCGATCTAGCATATCTATGATGATCCACTCAGGGCAGAATTTGGCCACACGTTTATAGGTCCCAGTTACATTCACAGAATACTTAGGGGAGCACTTACCGAGGTGGAAACTGAGGCAGAGAGGTTCTCTGGGACAAGCAGTAAAGTGTGGGGGTTAATAATAGACTAGATTGTGGCTCTTGCTCTGAATACATGAGCCTTGTCTCATCCCCACTCCCCACCTACGCCAGGTGATATTATTATATTTTTGTGTAGCTGCCTCACTGCAAACTCTGGTCCAGTCCAGGCATTGTTTTCCAAAGAGATTCACTCAGTGATTTCATGCATGTCGGAATTGTTCTTGCTGGTTATTTTGCTAGGAAACTCGGGCATTTTCCATGCATTCTTTCTTAGAAACAGACACACTCTGACACGGTGGTTGATACTATCTCACAGAAGATTAAGAATTTTTCTAAACTCTTCCAAGATACTTCATGGTCATATTTAGGTTGCATATGTAGAACAATAATTACTTTTTCCTGATCTCTGGTGCATTTGTACTCTTACAAAAAGACAAAGCGCAGACGAAGGGGGAAAGGGATCTGTATGGAAAAACAATCCATAATTCAACACAGAATGTATTGTGCAGAGTCAGGTAGTTTAAGGGAAGTACATTTGCATCTTGTTGTCTATAAGCCATAAGGTATCAAAATACATACACACTAAAAGGCTGAAAGAACTCCAGGGGTGGGGAAGCCATCTCACCAAGGTTCTTGGAGACCATGAAAGTGAAGGACATCTCCTCTTAGGAGATACTGTTACCCTCATTCTTCCTCCTTGTGTAAGATCCAAGAGGAGCAATTGAATTAGAAACAAAGAATGGAGAAAATATCATGTCTTGAGAGCAAGATGTCGGATCAGTCATATAAACTGTTCAACTCACCTTTAAGTAGAGGAAGGTAATTGTGAGCGGATTAGAGGTCCACATTGGAAACACTGATCATATTTCTCTCTTCCCGCTCCTTCCCTGGCAATGTTCCCAAGTTTGTCAGCTCGTTTATAAGGGCCTTTTGCAAAGTCTACAGCGTGTTCTGATTTCAGTACTTTGGAATTATAATTGAGAAGATAGTTGCAGCCACGTAATCTGATAATCCAAGCGATAACTACAGTTCTCAATCTCATTTTGGAGGTGTTGGTGGAAAGTAATAGGTACTGTGCAATTGGCTTTTATCTACATCAACAAAATGACTCTGATGGCTGGAAACTGAAAGCGAGTCTGTACGGTTCTGGACGCTCCTTTCTGACACCGAAAAGGCCCTTCTAGAAGATGTGTATACTCTAACATGTTAAATAAATTAGGGAAAAATCCAAGGTCCCAAAGAGAATTGGTATCAGAGTCAGAATTTAAAATGAAGGAGTTGCTAGTTCCCAGTCCTGTGTTCGTACTGTGTCGTGTAGAAATGCCTGAGATTCATGTGTAATGGGTTTTCAGAACAAAATGGAAAGGAAGCAACTTGGTAGAGGCATTGTGTAAGGGGGACAGCCCGGGTTAGAGGCCTGGGATGGTGCTCTAGGAGGAAGGCCCTGGATTAGAAGAGGAAGAATGGCCTTTTGGTTAAGGAATTCGACTGGGACCCAAGAGACCTTTGTTCTGTTCCCAGATTTCACAGATGTCTTGTTTGTCCTTAACCATATAACGTAATCTCTGTGCCTCGGCTTCCCACCTGTAAAATGGGTATACTACTTCCCTGGCTCCTAGGGGGCTTGTGAGGATAAAGTCTGTCTTTGCGAGATGCGTGGTAATATAGTGATGGAAGCTATATGTGTACCCAGATTTGTAGACAGAAGCATGGTATAAGAGGCAGTGGGGATGAGAGCTGTAGCGGAGGGACGGGAGGGATGTGGGAAGCAGTGTGCATGTGGAGGGTAAAAGGGAAAGCCCTCCGTCATGTTTATTTTTGCATAACTTGGGGGAGGTTGGCCAAGATCTGAGCTTGATTTATATTCTACTGCTTAGAAAAATAAGGTGCTTTTGGCACTAGTTTATGTATCTACATATATTGTTTTCTTTTTCAGCTTCCGCTTCATTAACGCCAGATTTATTATCTCCAGGAAGTTCAAATTTATCTTCTCCCTTACCTTGTTTTGGATCCTCATTCCAATCTACAACTTCCTTTGTCATTAGTGATATCACAGAGGAGGCAGAATTAGAAATTCCGGAGCTTCCATCAGTTTCCATGCTTTGTTCTGCAACCTCTGAATGTTGTAAACCAGAACCAAAGGATGTTGACGAGGAAGATTCTGTGTCTCTTTCGAAGGCCAGCAGTTTTGCAGACATGATGGGCATACTTAAAGACATTCATAGGATGAAACAGAACAAAGATTTGTAAGTCTTTCCTGAACCTCTTTTATTTTCTGCGTGAACGCTCCTGTCCTCTTTTTTTTGTTTCAAAGCATTGTAGACACATTGAATATTGTGTTCATCTGCTTGTCTTTCATGCTATAATCATGCTTTACAAAGAAATATTTGTTGTACATTAGAACTGCTGATATTTCTAGATCTGTTTTATTTGCCTCCCAAATGATTGCCTTTGAGCCAAGGGTAGAAAACAATGGAGAGAGGGGGAGGTACTGCAAGTCTCCTAGCACACTGCTTGACAACTCTGCTTCAACCCATCCACACCAAAAATCATCTTGCTTTTCTTACTGTTTAGCAAAATGTGTGTGGAGAGGAGACATCCCTGAGTGAAGCCCTCTGAGACACTACCTTACTATTGTCAGATATCTGCACACCTCTCACCTCGAAGCTCTGTGCGCATTCCATGCAATGTCTGATTAGGCAAACCGCCCACCTCATGCTTTTTTCCTCATAAGCGCTGTCCTGAAAGCAGATTTATCGTACCGTTGTCTTGTAACCTGGGAATGCCAAGTCACTGACATGCTTACCTGTGCATTGTCGGAGACAGGACCCTCCGCTGAAGAAATACCTTCTCTAATATCTCAGCTGGCCTTTGTACTGTCCTTGTTTCACATGGACGCCATGGAATTAGACTGACGCTCAGCCCTTTCACCAGCACGCTCCAAAATCCATGTGGCCACTTCTATGGTATTGTGGGGAGCCCTATTCAATATCAGAATAAAGAACATTTTGAATCATCATTATGTTCCTTTATGAATTTTATGCCTAATCCAATTAAAGAGAAATGTAATTCTCTGGCACCAAACAAAACTGAAATATACTCTGTACAGCTCAGCCTGCACTGAAGTATCATTGCTCTCAAATTTTCCAAAGAAATATTATTCAGAAGTGGAAATTTATCCCTCCTCCATTATATAATTCTTGCCATTAATCTTTCTGGAGGCTGGAGTAGGAGTCAGAGCTTAAATGAATTTCTCCCGATCATGAATACACTGGATATGTATCCTCTTTTGAATTGCAGATTGAAGTTTTTTCCTGCCTGTCCAAAGGAGCTTTTTTTGGCATCCTTTGCGATGTTGATTGATCCCAGTCAAAGGAGATGGAATTTTCAAAAAAGTACTTGTCGTTTTGCAGGATTTAGTGGGGGTTGCATCAACGTCCGTTGTCAGGCATTAGGTAATTTAGTCTGCGATGTCGTATTTGGTAAATGTGAATCATCTTCTTTTGGTGATCGAAAGCCAGACTTTCTTCAGACTGTTAAATTTGAACCTCCATCAGAAATGGACTAAAACCTAGCTAAAGGGCCTACATTTGTTACACTTGTGCAACACAATATTTAACCCTAATTGAATAAATTTGTTTTCAAAAAGATAAAGTAAACTTCTCCTGGAAGATAAACTTTTGTGTGGAGGGAAATTGCCAAACACCTGGGGCATATTGGGCCTGGGGATCGTGCACTATGCAGAACAACGCTGATCAGGGAAAGACCTGCAATGGAAGAGTCAGGAAGCTCATTCCCCATGTCAGAAGCTGCAGAGAAGGCGGCTCTCACACCAGCATTCCCAGGATCACTGGGAAGGTGCTAGATGAATAGGGTTTGGTGCTGAGGCATTTCACAAGGTCTTTGAGGCGGACTGGCGCAAATCCGTGGAGAGTTTTAGAAACCAGCATGGTGACTTTTTTAGGCTTAATCTTAAAATGACTGTTGAACTAGTGGATGCACTTGGTCGAGCAGCTTGGTTAGCGTGAGAATGCAGATAGCAATATTATCCCCATGCTGGACCTATTCAGTCATCTTGCATAGGGCAGTCCCTTCAACAGACATAGCTGAAGTCCTCTTAAAAGCTTGTCATGGGTGGGATAGGGGGGGATTATGGTATAAGTGCTCATATTTTGACTTTATGCCTCCCTGGCCAAAATGCATAGGGATAACTAATGATGAATGAAAAGGACTGTTTGTGGGGTGTTTTACATCTTGTTCCTGAACCAGCCGAATAGAAGAATGCCACTGGCGTGAGTATTGGGCAGGAGGGTAGGGAGAGAGAATGTCAGACACAACCTCTCCCTAGGATCAGCAGGAACGGAGCACGCCACTGAGAACAAATCTAGGTGAAACTGTGCCCCTGCCTGTGACCGGAGGACTTGAAGACAACTGCAGGCTTTAACTCTTCCAGCAACTATCCTCCCCTGCTCCCCGTGCAGGGAAGGCTCTAGTGTGAACCCTCAGGGCGTTTCAGATCAAGTTAAAGGACTTGTCCAGCACAGCAAGATTTGATGGTGTTGACATATACGCGGCTGGTTATGCAGATAGTTCTATACAAGGCATGATTGCCTTTCAGGGTAGCACCATCCTCATTTTTTCCAGTCATTCTATTTCCCCAAATGAGATGGAATCGCATGATTCCCCAGGAAGTCAGTATACATCCACCTGAGCAGTAGGTGAGTCTCGTGCCGTGAATAGGCTCTGCGTAGGTGGGGGGCAGGTAGTCTGAGCCATGGGAATGGATGTACAGCCAGCCGTGATAACACACAGCTATGCAGAGGGTGGCACAGAGAAAAGGGCCCAATTTTCTTGCTGCTTGTTTATCAGCAGTTCCCATTGACTTCACTGGAAGTCACTCAGCTGCAGGGGGAGCAAGAGAATGGGACCAGTATAATTTTAGGGACTGGGGGTACACATACACTGCTACGACCGTGCTGCTGTAGTGCCACAACATAGACACTTCCTGTGTCAACGGAAGGGGATTTTCTGTTGCTGTAGTTAATCCACCTCTCCAAGAGGTGGTAACTAGGTCGGAAGAAATTCTTCCATCCACCTAGCTGCCTCTACACTGGGGTAGGTTGAGTTCACCATGGCACAACATTCTTCAAAGCCCTGAGCAACTTAACTAGATGGATCTAATTTTTAAGTGTAGACCAGGCATGTATCTAATGGTTTATGCCTTTCTCCAAAGAAGGGGCTAGTTCTTCTCTAGGTAGCTATGTTCCAATGGCCTTATTCCAGGAAGGGGCGGTATTACCAGTAACTATTAGCACAGACGTCTATAAAGTAGAATACAAATGTCTTGTATGAGGATATCTAACAAATTCTATCCCACTGGGACTGGGCGGGCAGAGAGCAGGAAGAGCTCTGCTTTTCTGTTCTGCCAAGTTAGCCGAGGCCTGTTTCCCACAAGGAATAACTGCTTGCCTGATTAACAGGAGAAGCTGAATCACATTGTATGCAAATTTATTTTAGTGTATTATTGATAGCTCTGTTTTTTTCCTGATGGGGTTCAGAATGAATGGCCCAGATGTTAGGCAAATACTGCGGTAGCAATAACAGGAATTGCCATGTCTCCAGTGGATTTACCGAAAGATAACGGCATTCATTTGTGGAAAGGTTGTGGTGATGTGTGTTTTCGCCAATGCTTCCTCTGAGGCTGTATAACCAAATCTATAACCATAGGCTTCACACCATGTATTGCTCTTGTCTGTCCCTCTATCTTAGCCTATTGCCTTGCCTCCAGTGCGTATAGTACATGCGCTTGGAGATGAGGGTTACAATATCTGAATGAGAGCTGGATGAATAGCCGTGAATAATGTATTCCATGTGACTTTGCAATTAACTGATGAACAATTGTCTTCATTGTTTGACCAGCACAAATGGATGATTGCCCTCCAGGCCAGCCCCATACCATGGTGACGTGCCATATATCTGACGAGAGTTAGTTGGGACTCCCTAATATGCTGTGGGGGGAGCAGCTTGTACCTCCCTGACTGGCTGAATACAGCACTTACTTATTGTTGGCCTGGAGAACAATAACAAGACCCTAGAAGTCTGGATTTCTTGTGGTGAATTGCTGAGCTTGAATTGCCCAGCCCTAGAATCTAATTGATATGGCTTTTGCTGTCTTATCCTGCTGACGTCAGTTCCGTATTTCACATAAAATGTTTAGTGAACAAAAACAAATGAATGTGAAAAGCTCGGGTGGGGTTATTCTTAGAACACCTGTTATTTCGCAGCTGATGTACATTAATGAGTTGTGAAATATCCTTGCCACAGCCACCGATAGTAAATGATCTCAGTCAGCTTAGAACTGATTATAGAGTCATTGATCTCTTTGAGGTTATTGTGGTGATCATATGGACATCCCAGCAGGAGCAGGTGTAGAAGCAGCATCATGGGTGTCTGACTCAGAAGAATCATGAAACAGCAAGAACTGAAGTTGTTTTCAAGAGGCAGCCTCCCTGGAGTCTGTCCCTCGTCTGACCAGTTTCCCGAACTCGGATGGTACCAGAGCCAGCGGTATAAAGTGAATGTGTAAAAGGAGTTAAATGACCGTTTTAATTTTTGTGGGTGGAGATGCCGTTTACACCTAACAAGATGATTAAATCCATGCTTCTCTGATGCTCCTGTTTAGGAACTGGTGTTAAAACCCACAGCCTGGAAACTTCAGGAATGAGTATGAGCCACATTTGCATGTTTCCACCATTAAAATCAGAATAGAGCCCTTTTAATATCTGCTGCCTTTTGGAAAGGAGTTGTCTGTGTAGTGTTCCAGCTGATCCGTTCATTGTGTGTGGTTAAAAACGTTTAGCGTGAAGATCTGCTTTGAATGTGAGTACGTTTTTATAAGTCCTGGTCATGGGATTGATCTAATTCAGGTGTAATTGCGCATTAATTTGTCCATGATTACTTCCCTGGCTGTTGGAGTTCTTCAGTGGGAATTTCTAAAGAATCAAGATGCCGATATGTTGTTGGTTGAAGGTACCGCCTCTGCTGCTAGTTGCCTGGTGTCAGTTTTCTACAATAGCTGCTGGTTGTGCGCTGCTGCTGGAGGCTTGTTCTCTCCCTCTGATAGATTTCCCCCACACCTCTTTTTGCTACCCATGGTGGGGATGAGCATTTTCCTTGTATTCAGTACAACTTCCGTTTTTATCGCTGCAGTCTCACTTTGCCTCTGCCCATCCAGCCTCTTCCTGCATCTGCTCTTGGCTTCCCTCCTACATCCATTGCCCTTTGGAAGCAGTTTATTGGAACTCTGGGGGATTTTGGATTCTCTTAAGCTTCCCCTGGTGGAGGAGTGGCTTCAGAAGTTCTTCCAAGTCCATGCTCTGAACTCTATCTACCTGTCTCTGCACTCGTATCAGAGGGAATCCTGATTCTGGTGAAATCAGTGGAGTGTTTCTATCTACTGTCATGACTTAAAAGCTGGAGTTAAACAGTGCATTACAATTGTGGACTAAGGCTTTGCCCCTGCAGACACTTCACGTGGCACTGGGGGTTCAGGCCTGAAGCCAGGGGTTACTTGTGAACTTCTTAAATCTAATCACTGAGTCTAGTAAAAGCTTTCAGTGAGTGGCTGCAGGTGTTTAAAACAAATACAGCAAACCGTAATTATTTTTTTGCTTTAATCTAGTTAAAAATAATTGACTCTTCTAGAGTCACAATTAACATCATCATAGATAATTGGTGGTTCTATTTGAGTTCAAAGTAACGTCCTTTGGTTTTAATAAAGGAGGAGGACAGCCTGCATACTGCTTGTATTTTGTATATTTCTTCTTACCTGTTGTTAACACTTCAGATTTAAAGCAGAGGGGTAGGGGGGAAATTAATGTAGGCTGGGATTTTTTACACCACATGGGGCATTTAGACTGCACAGTTTCCCCTTGAAAGTAATGGGAACTGTCTCTCCGTATTTCCTAGGCAGCTTGCAAAATGACAGCCTTAATGTACTACTCACTTTGTCTTCTATTCAATTTTTGCACTTTACCCAACTCTGACCGACTGTCAGGGTTCCCAGTGCTGCAGGGAAATGTTGAAATAAAAAAGGGGTTTCAGTGACACACAATTTTCTCATAATTTAGTTTATAAAACAATTTTTTAAACAAAATCCTAAAGGGGCCTAAGAGACAGTGTCATCTACAGACTTTGGAGAATCTCTATCCAAATTGCTGTTAATACATTTAATTTTGTATCTCCATCAGGAACCGAACTTTATTGAAGGAGGAAGACCCGGCTGTTCTAATATCAGAAGTGTTAAGAAGAAAATTTGCTCTAAAGGATGAAGATGTAACCATGAAAGAAAACTGACTTTACACTTTCATTTAAATCTGTAAGCAAGTGTATCGTACTCCTGAGATTTTTCTCCACAGTAGCTGCCTTCCTAAGGATCAAACTTTTTTGCCTCTTTACTAATTAGAAATTATTTCTGCACTGGAAACTCATTCAAGAAAGCAACTGTGGATTTGCAGCGTTTTCCATGTCTCTAAAATATATAAAAACTTTTTAAGAAAAAGGACATTTTTCCACATAATTTGAAGCATTACTGGTAACAGTGTCTTCTACAGAGTGATGCGAGTGTTGCTAAATGAAGTTCTCTTCCCATCTGTGTTTTTCCCTAAGGTGACTTAAACTTGAATCATTCATTTGACTCATGATGGTCTTGTTGCAATATGACTAGCTAATTTATAATATAAATGGACATAAAGCATCTAATTCTTTCTCTGTTCAGGGAAAGTCGGGTGCAAAGCTATCAATGAGAGTAAATTGCTTCTTCCCTCCAGGCTGTCAGTTTTTAGGAAGTTCTTATTGTATTGAGGGTGGTTTAAGAGCTTGCATTATTTCCTCAAAAAAGGATTCCATTTCCTAAAGTTTCTTCCACTTACTTTCCTGTCCCATTTGGGACAGGAGAAATTAAAATGAATTATCAGACCATTTAACCAAGCTCAATTTGCTAGACTCGTGTTGGCTGGTGAGTGACTTTTAAATAGTTTGTAATATTTGAAAGATCAAAATATCCCCAAGTCACATTACATGACACTTATATCCTGCCCTAAGGTAACTTGTCAAGAATTCCAGGTGTTTCATTAAAATGGTCTCTTTATTCAGATTAACTTTATTTTATTAATATAAAATTCAGTAAGAATTTTGCCCAGTTAATGTGATTTAAAATTTATCTACTGAATCATCAAAGCTAGGAGTTGAGTCCTGCGGGGAAAAGGAAAGGAGAGAGAAGTCACTGTTGAAGTGTCATTCTGTGCTAATGTCTCTCAGCTGTGTTCAAGCTCGATGATGATTCCTTTATATAAATGGATCCCTATATGTGGTTCTCCAATGATAGTTGCAGGTTTCCTTGATAGTCTCAGCTTGCTAACAACTGTGCTGGGTTTTTTTGAGGATTGGTATTGTCTGTCCGCTTGTACTGGTATCTGAAACATTGTTCATAGAAGAGTATCACTGGCTTGAGCCGCAGCAATTGTTTTGGGCTGTTTCTGCTGCAGCAAAGGGCATGGATCACTGTACTCCATGTTGACTCAACTTGACTTGTGTGTGCCAGCAATCACTTGGTCCTGCAGCTCCCTCGTCCTGGTCTCTCCTGTGTTGCTTTTGAGCAGCTGGTGCTTTCTTGTGAAGTCACTCTACTGTCCTTGCAACTTAGCAGAGAATTGAAAGGTCAGTGCATGCCTGTTTAAACTGTCAGGAATGTGTTGAGTGAGCAGCTCTCATAATATACTTGTGCTGTAGGAAAATATACACTACAGTGGTGTTCTGCCGGAAGCACATCACATACAGTTGGTATCTAACCCCATTCGTTCTGACTTATCACCAGTGCTGTAATGGGACTGTCAGGCTTTATTTGTGTCGGTTGTAGGATGGGATAGGATAACGGGGAGGACTGGCTGGTACATATTTTAGTCGTTGGTGTGGAATGATAATTCCAAAGATACATTGCACAATTCTGTACACACACACACACACACATACAATCCTCTGCTGTGACACCAGCTGCTGAGTCACTAGGGAAGATTAGCCCCCTTTCCCAAAATGCATCTGTATCCACGCATCTGTGGACATACTTTGTCAGAGGAAAATATGGGAACCTGGTCCCACATAATAGGAACAATATTGGATCAGCTACTGCAAGTGATTGCACTTTTGTGTAATCTTCCTGCCCTATACTAGCATGCTGCCTTTGAATGGGGTGAACTGGCCTCTCTCTCCCCTTACATTGCAGGCACAAATGTACCCAAGCCAGATTCTTCCCTACTCTGGCAGTGTGACCAGTGGTGGAAAAACCACACTTCAAGTCCAGATTCACTCCTGCAGCTAGTAACTGGCTCAGAGAGGGGGGAGGAAGCTTGCTCTGTTAGAACCCCCTGCTGGTAGGGCCAGCAAGAAAAGTCCTTACTGTGGCAGTTGTGTGGCCCTGCAGATTATGAAGCCAGATCTGGCCATAGAAACCTTGAGACTACCACTATTTTGAAATAAATAAATAAACCTGCCACTGTACTCTCTTACTTTATTTAAGCACTGTGGTGGCAATCACAACTAGCACTGACGGTCTAGAATCCCACCCTGTACACAGCTACACCTTTTGGCTTTCAGTCTGAAATGCCGGTTGTGTACATCTCTTCCTTCTCTACACCAGCTACCTTTGGTAGGGATGGTACAACTACACTTTCTGATGATGATTTTTGATTTGGCTATTGAGCCAAGTAGCTTAATCCTATTACTTTAATGAAGGGACTGATGCAGTAAGAGATGTATAGGTGACAGCTGTGCCCCTTAAGAAGCATTATAGCTTTCTATATAGCACACATGCTCCCTTTAAGTCAAATTATTATTCTGTTGCTATAGTAACATAAGAATTACCATACAGCAGAACAGGGGTCCATCTAGTCAAGTAACCAGTACCACATGCTTCAAAGGAAGTTGCAAGCAACTTAGTTCCAGTCCTCATAACACCTGTCAATTAGGGATTACTCTATATGCTGAAGCAAGAGGGTCTGTGTCCTTTACAAACTTTGTTTTTAAATAATCCCAGGGCTGTTCTTAGCTATATACACGTCCAGTCCATTTTTGACTCAAGTTCTTGACTTCAGAGACATCTTGTACCAGTGAATTCACACCACTTGAACGGGCAGCTGAACCTAAATTTTGGGGGCAGATAATCCACCTGTAGATGTGTTGTGAAACACTAGACTACACAGTGTGGGTCCTCAAGTTTGTGGACTCTGGGGAGCTGATGTTGGGAAATCTTTAACTTCGACTTCCAAGCTGTTGAGCCATCTTGCAATATTCAAATCTTACGAGATGAGTGGGAAAGTTCTAAATCAAGGGCAAGGTATCTTTTTCCCTTTAAGTCTTGAATAGTAATGGGCCCTTATTCCTCAACATGTAGGATTGAACGTACCCTTCATGCTTCCTTTTATATAGACCCATCACTAAGCAGAGCCTTGCCAAACATGCAATTTTTGGTGACCCCCCCTCCCAAAGAGATTATTCACTCAGTTGCACTGTGTGACAACATGGTGCCTGTGTTCACCTGAACAGGGCATCGGAAGGAACAGATGTGGAAACTTGATTATAACACATTTTACAATAAAATGATCACTTTATTTGCACACATCAAAGACAATCCATGCAGAGTAAGTAGCCTGTGTGTTTGGGTCTATACCACTCATAGCCAAAGGCCGTATATGCAATGTGTACACTTACATAGTCCCTGTATCTTTCTTAAAGAAAGTGATGCACTGTGTAGGCTTCAGAGGAATTTTCATATACATTAAAAAAGTCAATTTTTCAGCATCCTGTTTACTCAGAAAAAAATTACTACTGAATCAGTGTTTGATAATTCTATTTCCTTCTGAATCCTCTGTGAATAACAAATCATAGCATGACTCAGGCTCACATAAATTCATGGCTGTAGTAGCTAAAGGAGTCTTGTCCCGTGCCCCTGAAGAATAAACCTTAAAGCAGTCCACAGAGGGTGGGCTAGGCACCCTATGGACAAAGTTGGTTTTGTCCTGTAGATACTTTTTCTGCAACGGTGATCTGACTCTCTTATAGAAGTGCTGGTGAGAAATGACTCTGTATCCCTCTGAATCCTGGGTAAACAACTGTGTGGTAGGACTACTCTCACTGGGCCCCTGCTCTTCTTCTGAACCAGCCATATTGTGACAGTTTCTTGTCCAAAAGGCAGCAAAATTTTGACTGTCTCTCAAAAGCTCTGCTTTAGTTGTTCGCCCCTGGGATAGAGGATAATTGGTCTGCTGGCCTTCATTACCCTTGGGTGCAGGACACACATTCTCAACCTCTGACAAATCCATAAAAGAAATTCCACCAGGGGGCAGGTTTTTGCATCTCCTCCTACCTTGCTTCAAGTGTGTAGGTTTGAGACCCACTCTAGTTCTCCCCCTCTCCGAGCACAAATGCCCCTCTTTCTCTCCTATAAAGTAACTCTCTCTCTTCCTTGAAATTATCCCATTTGCTACAGGTATTCTTCCAGTGAATGAGTCAGATGAATTCCTGTGAGCTAGAACCCTATTTCCCTCTGAATCCTGGGTGAAGTTCATGGAGAGAAAGTCTTCTGTCTCACCAGCAGAGGTCCTTGCAATGGCTGTGCACTCACTCCTGCTGTTAGACTGTGCTTGGGGGAAGGTATAGTTCAACAGGGGAATGTTCAAGCCTTGTGTGTTTTGTACAAGCAGCTGGCTACATTCCTGAATGTTGTCCTCCTGAGGGCTCAAGGTTGGTGCCTGGGCTTCCTCTAACTTAGCAGCCCCAGAACTCTTCATAGAGGAGGCAGCCAAGAAATCAGAGCCTTTTCCTTTATTTGACATAAGAGGATGTGTCTTTAAGTTTTCTTCATCATCCTTTTCACCTGGAAAAAACAATGTACTTGAATAAGACAACACAGCTGATATGCAAACTCTTCAAACTCAAGATTAGCGACCACACAATTATGCCTCTCCCATGCTTGATTTAGACAACTCTAAACTGTCCTCCACCCCTCCTTTAATTAATTTGGACACAACCAGACTCTCTCCTGTTTCACAACATCCTAATAGTTCTACCTCCTTGTAGAAATTAGTGAGATGGCTGGCGCAATATGTGAAGCAAGAAGATGACAGTCAAGCAAGTTCTGCCTCCCATGAGGGAGAAGTGAAGTGATATCTGAGCAGTTCCAAGCTCCCCTTGATGCTCCATCTCTTCTTCAGGCCTCCCCCAAAGAGTCAAATTCCAACTTCAGTAAAGCCATTCCACCAACTTAAGTTCCCCTTACACTTTCAATAGGATGTGCCTTTTAACAGTTATGTAATGCCTGTTTTCCACCCCTAAGGTGGCTGCAGTGATTTTGATGACACTGTATATTTGTGAAGTGCTTTACCAATGAACAGTTCAATAGAAATTAAGATTCTAATAAATCTTCCTCCGATAGAAAGTGGTCTGATTGCTGTTTAGTGATTAACTACTGGAAGATGCTTCACTTCTTTATAAATTAGTGAT